TCTCAGAAGAACAGTTTGAGCAATAGATTTTGAATAGATATATCTTCAGCCTACAACTAATTTTAAATCACTTTGTAAAATTCTGCGGAGATTGTATTTTTTATAACAATAGGTTGGCCATAATAGATTGTATCGTTTTGTAGTTTACCTGTTCATCTTGTAATATGCTTTATTTAGATAGGAAAACATACCGAAAAATTTAGTATGAAAAAAGTCTACATTTCACCAGACAAAGCTTATTATGTATATGCATATACAATTTTGCGAAATAGAGAAAATTTTATGTGACTAGTTTTTGACGCTGCATGTAAGATGATTTATTGATACATGACATATTCATCTTCTTATTTTTTTCAATTAATAAATCATAGTTTTTTAATTTATTGTGTTGCATTGAATCAGCAGTAGTCTCCCATAAATACAATAATCTAGAACATTAAGATCAAGACTGTTTTGGCGGTCATCTATGACCGTTCAGTATACGTTGAAATTCGTCGACCCAAAGGCTTGTATGTTTGAAAGCTTACTAAACGATTAAATTAACGTGTATAGCAGACTAATATGGTGGTTGAACTGAAGAAACAAAAAATAAAATGATATGCATTGCTTCGTGCAGCGTCTATTGTATATATTATACATCAGGAAAAAGAAGTTATAGATTGAAATGTATCTGATAATACAAATAAGGTTTTTCAGTATAACAATGTTAAATGAATCTAAATTCCTAGAATAGGAATTCTAAATGCATACATTTACGAAATCATAAAATTTCAGAGCGTACATGAACGATACTTTTATGTGAACATAGATTTTCGCCGGATCGAAGTATGGTCACATAGAAGTCGGTCTCTTTTGAAAACTAAGAGTTTATGTATACAATACGCTTTGCATTGTAAATGGGAAAGACTTTCACGCAGCATCTTTTGTTCTTTTTTTGATAAAGCATATTAAAGGATAAAAAACTAAAAAATACAAAAAGGTCACCATTGATAAAGGTCCTCCTTCTATGTCTGTCTGTATCGTTTCAAAGTTTCTTTGGTAACACATCACACACATTATTAAGCTTTTGTGATCTTCCTGCCTACCTAGAGCACTATGCTTTTTCGATTAATATTTCTAATTGGAAGGCGGAAAAGTTTATCTTCTGTTTTTTCGTTTCAAATCTTACTGTATGATTAAGGATCGTTGGAAATGTTCACTCAGAAATTTTGTTTTAAGCATTATCCTTGAATAATCCACAGAACATAAATTAGAAAAACAAAGAAAGATAGACACTTACACGATTGTTCTGATATGTTTATGTGACCATTCTTTAAGAAAAAACTGCGTATAACTGATAGCTAATGATAATTATCTCTTGTCTTCGCTACTATATACGCTGCGCCATTACTTAGTTGATAATTTGCAGAATAACACACAAAAATCTGTTGGATATACTACTGAATAGAGAGAGGCGTCCGTTTAGAACAATGGCATCATTAAAACTAAAATACGGCTCTTTTACTGAGAAACAGAATGATATTTTTTTTCAAAGACAACATATGCATATAATTAATTCATAGAATATGAATGTAGTGTTGAACTAAATGTATCTCATGCTAGATGAAGAGACAGTTATTTTGTGGAGCAGTAGTATGAACATTGTTTTATAATAGAATATATTTTTAATGCGGTGCGAAGCACAGCATTTATGTAGTCGTGCGCGAGTTTTTTTTTTAATGCGGTGCGAAGCACAGCATTTATGTAGTCGTGCGCGAGTTTTTTTTTTTTTATTACTTTTTTATTTTACTTTCTCGACGTACGCAAAAAAGTTGTCATTTTCTGTTCGAATAATCTCGAGGACGGAAAGTCAGAAAATATTCGTTCAAACGCGAGGTAAAAATATCGACACGAAATTGATACCTTTTTGTATCAAATCGACGAAAACATGTTCCGCTCGCTTACAAATAACGTCCAAAAACAGCCAACTTTTAAGGACTTAGTGTTTTTCAAGCTTCGAGATAATTAATTTCACTTTAAAAGTTGTAATTTTCTCTCGCGATTATCTTCAAAACAGAAACTCCAAAAATAGTAGTGCAAAGGCGATGTACTAGTATCGATATCGAACTAAGAGCATCCATTGATTTTGTTCTCAAAGCACTTTTAGTTTTCTCAGAAATAGCTACCGAAAATGACAAATATTGCATTCTTCGTTTTGAGATAATTAAAATCGACAATACAAAACAAAGTTAGGCGCCACTCTCTTCTATCTCATATGTTAAACAGCTGTAAAAGCAGCTGATGATCGACAATGAGTCGCATAGATAATTAATCAATCAATCGAAATCATCGTTTAGAACAGTTTTCCTCGACTTTCATAGGGTTCTCGTGGGGATGAATTTTATTATGGAACTTTTAACTTTTCTCATGACCTATTTGAGGTGACTAGTTAGAAAAGTAATTTCTCGAATTCGATTGATAAGTAAAACTGTCTATCGTACAAAGGCAGTAGCTAATTCAAGTGAAAATAACGATCATAATAGTTTAGAAAATCGAATTTTCGTTTTCTCGAAAATGTCGTCCTGTCGATAATTCGAAAGCTTCGTGCTTCGCACCGCATTTCGTATTCGAGTCGAAACTCGAATACCATCTAGTTTTTTCTTTTTTTTTTTCTTTTACTTACTCGACGTACGCATCAAAGTGGTCATTTTCCGTTCGAATGATCTCGAGAACGGAAAGTCAGAAAATACTCGTTCAAACGTGAAGTACAAGTATCAAGATCGAACTCGTACCTTTTTTGGTCAGATCATCTACAGAACCTATAGTTCGTCTACAATCGTAGCTCCAAAATTACGATTTTGACAAAGTTCACTGTTCAGATAATTAAAACGAAAATTCATAAGAAAAGTTAGGCGCCAATTTCTTTACTTATATATTGGAAACAGCTGTGAATTACAGCTGATAGTAGCTAATGAATCATTGACATAATTAATTGATCAATAGAAAACAACTCATAGAAATCTGTTGAGAGACTGCCATAGAGTTTCTGTAGTGATGAATTTTATAATGGACGGCTTTCGTTTCGAATCTAGATGAGATGAGCTCCTGGATAAAGGTGACGAAAAGTGTCTATCTTACGGAATATGTAGCTAATTGTAGTAAAAAACAGCGATCACTATAATTTAGTAAATCGAATTCTCGTTTATTAAGAAATATCGTTTTTTCAAAAATTCGAGAGATTCGTGCTTCGCACCGCATTTCGTATTCGAGTCGAAACTCGAATACCATCTAGTTGTATTTTATTTGTGAAATGTGTTTTTTTTTCTCTTGATATGCATATTAGCATTTTCATTTTTCATACATATATATTTCATCAACTACCATTCAAGAAAAAAATAGCAGTATATTTGAGAAAGCAGGTTTCTCAGAAAGTTGCTTTCTTTTGATACAGTGAACGTGTAGAAGTGGGGAGTTAGAAAATGCGTTTTTTACCTTAACATCCTTAATGGATGATTCCATATTTCTATTGATTATAATCATATGAATATGAAAAATTCAATCAATCCATTGACATGTATTACAAACTATTGTCTACATAATTCAGTATTTTAGAAAGAATTATAAACACATATTACTGATATATTCTGAGATTTCATTATAGCTGGATTGCTACTCAAGTAATAGAATTAAAACTAAGTAATAGTTTATTGTAAAAACTCATGGAACATCATGCTTTATTTTAATCCTTTTCGTCATCATATGACAAAAACTTAATCATCCTTATCAAAGAAGTTTGATAAATCGCTGTTCTGTACAGGTCAAACAGTACCACGAAGAAAAATACTTTCAACAGACTTCTCTAATTTACATGATAGTAAACAAACCTAATATTGCCACAAATCACTTAGTTTCTGCTACAAAGAAAACAACCAGTGAATCATAACGTGATGCATATTGCTGACATTTTTTTCTTTTTTTACATTTCAATGATGCAGTTGTCGAGTTCCAAAAGTAAAAGAAAACAATGAACAGCACACACATGGGAAGCATAAATAGATAATTGAATCAAACAAAAAAGGGAAATTAAGATCATCTCATTGTTTTGTTTTTGTTTGAAATCCATAAGTATGGATTTTTTAGGATATTAACCTAAAAAAGTATCACAAGAAAAACATAAATGAAACCAATAAGATTTACAACAAGGATTAATTATTTGAGATTCAGAAACTTTGAAAAAGCATCTGACAAGGCAATCTCTAGACACAATCGAAAGTCCTTTACTGAAGACATGTGTTTTAACATTCAGTCCGTTAAGTATTAATACAAGATACGTATAATGATATGCCGATCTCGCTACACTCATCCGAAGCTATAATCACATTAGTGACTTATTGGTTGAGTACCAGTAACTAAAGCAAAACCAGAGGCGGTACTATTGTCCTATAATTTATCGCATCAGATGATCTCACGATGTCTATCGTAAGACGTGAGGTTCTGAATGCGTTAACCGTTTTGTTTAGGATACCAAAGTTTGAATGGACTTTCTTTAACCACAATGATCCTAGAATGTTGACGAGTTATCTCATTCGAAACTATATAGATTTAATACATGTATTCTTGTGGAACTTGATGAGCTCTACAAAATATATATAACAAAAAACATGTAATTTAGCTGACTCAAATTTGTAATGATGAATGAAAATAATTGTTGTTATAGTAATATCATAATGATTACTGATTCCTTTCATCACTGCACTTGAGCCTTCACATAAAATAAATGTTCGATAGATGAAGTTGTTTTTAACAGTACTATTGCAAACACATTTTTCGATTGAAAGAAGATTTTACTAAAAAACTCTCTTTTACTATTCTGTAACATTATATTAATGTTTACTTAAAAATGATTCACTTTCTTACATCGACAATTGAAGTTCTATAAAAAAATATTATTGCTTTCTGTTCTTTCTTATTTTCTTTCACACCACTATTGTTCAACACATCATCCTCAACATATTAAGCACATGGCTACAACTATTGAAAAAAATTGTTGTGCTATATGCAACAAAGAAAAAGCCAAATCGAAATGTGAAGGATGTTCAAAAGATTTTTGCTCCAGTCATTTTGCAGATCATCGTCAAGAATTGAGTAAACAAATAGACGAAGTAGAAGTCTCATGTGATCTCTTTCGACAAATGCTTACGCAGCAATCATCTCCGTCATCACAGCATTCAGTGATGCAACGCATTGATAAATGGGAACGTGACTCTATTCAGAAAGTTCGACAAACAGCAGAAGAAGCTAGACAACTACTGCTCAAGTATATTACTGAAAATATTATCGACACAGAATTTCACTTGAATAATTTGACTAATCAAATATGGCAAACTCGTCAAGAAAATAATTTCGTTGAAACAGATATTAGCCAATGGCAACAAGAACTATATAGATTAAAAAAAGAACTCACAAATCCATCGAATATCACATTGCGACAAGATTCTACATCACTTGTGCAGAAGGTTTTTGTCCACATGAAAACTAGTAATTATACTTTTAATATTTGTAGTGACGAGAATAATGTTAGGAAAATACATGGAATTCTGTATGAGAAACAGAAAAGTTCGCACATCTTTTGCCGTATATGAATTTAAGGAGTAATCAGCTATTTCCTGAAGTTTCTTATTTAAAGTTCAGTCTGATAAAATTATACATCAATTTCTATTTAATTCGTTGAAGTCTCACCAACAGAGCGAGCTTGAAATAAAAGAAAAAATCAAAATTGAAGTTATATATTTGTTGCTCAAAATATTTTGAAAATTAGTTGCTAAGTGTTGTCGAAAAAAAGCAAATACAAAAATTTAAGCTATTTGTTTCAAACACATTTTTCTGCACTTCAAACAATAATGTTTTAAAAAACAGAAATTTTGATCTGATTATAGCACAACTGTATGTACCAAACATTAGTGCTAATACAAAATGGATACAAAAGGGTATTACTGCGGCTGGTGGTAATGGACGAGGTGTGGGATTAAATCAATTAAATTATCCACGAAATGTTTACATTGACAGTGACCAGACTATGTATATTGCTGATTACTCAAATCATCGTGTTATGGAATGGAAGTATGGAGCAACGAGTGGTCAAGTTGTTGCTGGTGGAAATAGATTAGGAAATCGAACTCATCAATTGAATAATCCATCAAACGTTATTGTTGATGAAGAACAAGATTGTCTCATCATTTCTGATTATGGTAATCGACGAGTAATGCGATGGCCTCGTCGAAATGGCACAAACGGACAAATACTCATATCTGATATTGACTGTTCGGGATTAATGATGGATAATCATGGATTTCTATATGTTTCTGACTCACAGAAACATGAAGTAAGACGATGGCGAATGGGAGATGAGAGTGGAACCGTGGTAGCGGGTGGTAATGGTAGAGGTAGCCGTCTGGATCAACTCAGCTTTCCTACCTCAATATTTGTCGATCGAGATCATTCAGTTTACGTGTCCGATTCGGAAAATCATCGTGTAATGAAGTGGATGAAAGGTGCAAAAGAAGGTATTGTTGTTGCCGGTGGTCCAGATCAAAAGAAAGGCTCAATACAATTATCATCCCCTCGTGGAGTCTTCAGTGACTCGTTGGGTACAGTCTATGTTGTAGATTGGAGTAATGCTCGTGTATTAAGTTGGCCTAAAGGAGCTACTCAAGGTACTATTATTGTTGGTGGAAATGGAGAAGGAGCAGAAGCTCACCAGTTCTATTGTCCAATGGGTTTGTCAATCGATCGACATGGCAATCTCTATGTCGTTGATAACTCTAATCATCGTATACAAACGTTCAATATCGATCCAAAATCGACTTCGCCTAATTGAATTTGAACCATAATAAAATGTTAATAATATTGTTGAAGATCTCTTTTTTTCTCGAACACCGCGATGAATTGTCATAATATCTGATTATAAAGTTTTAACTGATGTGAAAAAAAAATAGGATTTATTTTTTAATATGATGATTTCTTGTTAATTAACAATATTTAACTTTGTCACTTTATTTTCATGTCAATTATTTGAAAGTTAAACTCGAATATACTTGTTAGCAGCGTTTAAATAGCCTTTAAGATCAATGTATTTTTTCTTAAAATTTACATTTTTAATGTTTTTATTTGATTTCAACACTTTTACTACGTAATAATGTAACTTAAGGCACATTCTATTGAAATAAGTAACAGTTTAAATAAGTCGCTTGTTTCAATGATTACATATCACCATCAAGACAATCTTTACATGAATATACTTTCACAAACAACAGGAAAAATGTTGATTGAGATAAGTAAGCTAGACAAACTGTTCATCGTTGTCAGTCGCATTGTTATGATGATTATTGACAGTTGTAAATACTCACAACGAAACATTACTGGGACGATGCATTCGAAAAGCGAGACAACTTATTATCAAAACTAAAATACCCAATAACGTTTTCCTATCAAACAGGGCCACTTGAAATAAACACTGTTGATTTTTATTTTTGTTATTTCTTTTTTGTTGTAAAAATGAATCATGCTTTCAATGTCATCATTATGGATTTGCAGTAGCCAATGAAATTGTTTGTACTGATGATGATTTTCATTCATAGATTATAATAAAAGACGTACATATAATTCTGTTAAAATCAGAATGATTACAAACTACTAGAAAAATCTAAAACGAACTCCATTTACTCATCTAAATGCTTATTAATACAAAGTGAATGTTCAACACACAAAATTAACTATTATCATTATTGTGAATATATATTTGAAACACACAAATACTGTGTCGCAAATGTCGTTTGTCGTTTTTTTTCTATATGAATTTTTATTGAAGAACAACTCACGCTTTTTTTTCTGTGTCAGACGTTGACACAAGACGAGATTTTTTTCTTTCACAATCTTTTCTCCAACAAACGTATGTCAATATATTCAACACATGGCTACAAATGTTAATAATAACCATTGCACGATATGTAAAAAAGAAGGCTTCCTATCAAAATGTAGAGAATGTTCAAAACTCTTTTGCTATAGTCACTTAGTGGATCATCGTGATGAACTGAGAAAACAATTAGATGAAATTAGAAGTACTTGTGATCTCTTGCGACAACCACTTGTTGAGCAAAGATTTCAGTTACGAAACCAATCGTCAATACAACAGATTGAACAGTGGGAGCGTCACTCGATTAACAAAATTCGACAAACAGCAGAAGAAGCCAAACAACTAATACTACGATCCACTACTACACATATTGATGAGATACAAAGTCAATTGGATAAATTGACTGATCAATTGAGACAAACTAGTAGAAACGACAACTGTGGAATAGATTTATCTCAATGGAAGCTAGAACTGGCAAAACTGACAGAAGCACTGTATAAGCCACCAAATTTTTATGTTATAGAAGATTCAACACCACTTGTGACCAATATTGTTGCGATGGTACAACGTGGTATGTATTTACGAATTACACTTGTACTGCTAGCGACGATGTAATAAGTAAAGATTTGGTTTTTTTGAATTCTTACTGAGATGTTGCTGGTATATTCATAGTCATGTCTCATTGTTAGGAGATAGTGAAATTGCCTAATCTTCATTGCATCAGTTTTTCTTGACCTAATGGGTTTTTTTTATTGTGAAATAGATACAGGTGTATAGAACTTGATGAAAAATAAATCTATCATCATTCTAGTGTGATGGATCGTTGAAGAATTGATATCGTTGAGAATGATAAGATACTACAATAAATATTACTTTATGAGGTAGTTTTAGAAATCTATTCTGTTAACTTTCTTCAATAACATATGATTTGAATCATCGATAGTTGCATCCCAATATGTAAATTTAACATGAATGAATCTTCTGACAGCAAATCCTTTGCTTTTGCCAATACTACAGTATTCAATTTAGATTTGCAAATCATAGTTCATTCATAAATGTCATTTGGATCAAAAGATATTTTCTAGTTGAGAATTAATTTATACTGTTTCTTCCAACTTTATCTAAACTAACATTTTCAAAAACTGTAGTGAATATTGTATGGATTCATACTTGTTTCATTCATTCAGAAGAGACAACAATACCAAAGCATGAACAACATACACTGGATACAGCTTATAAAACTGAGATAAGAAATGACAAAACTCGTCTAAATACTGAAAATCAATCGAAAACGGTTAGTTGACTGTTGTCCATTTCTCATGAAATAAGTTCTTATGTCTTTAGAGAAGTAATATCTCTAATGACTCCAATCAACCAACAACATCGAAAACTTCTAGTCGAGTCATAAATAATGATGAATATAATAAAAATAATGTCAATCAACAACGATCTGACACTAATAATCGATCAATAAGTTCTTTAACTAACTATCGTATTACTTTCGATGATTCCGATGATGATGATGCTTCAAGTTATATTTCATGGGCTAGACAAGATATAATTGAATATCGTAATAATTATCCACATGTACGATCAGATTCGAAAATAACACAAAATTATCGTTTTTATACAAATCAATTAGAATCTTATCCAGATGGTGATCTTATTGATAATATACATAAACTATGGTTTCGTGATTATGATAGATTAGAATTTCATCATGGTTATACTCAATGGTTATTTCCATTACAAGAAAGAGGACTTAATTGTTATACTGAACCATTACAAAAACATGAAATTGAATCAATAAAAAAAGACGAAAAAGCATTAAAACGAATACTTACATCTTATGAACTTATGTAAGTCTACCAATGAATTTTTTTCTTACAAACGAAATTTTAGTCTTTATAAATAAATCATCTTCTAAATTGATATATTTTATTGATATATTAGGCTTGATTTTTATGGTTTTAAATTAATCGATAAAAAAACTGGTGAAATTGATCGTTTATCTGGTGATTCTTATAAATCACGTTTTCATAATCTCAATACATCATCACATAATTATTTACGTATTACTGTAAGTTTATAAATATCAAGCTTATGATTAGAAAACCATTCATATATTATACATTTTTAGCGTATTTTAAAATGCTTAGGTGAATTTGGTTATGAATATCTTAAATTTCCTTTTCTTGAACAAATATTACGAGAAATTATCATAGAAAATACACTACCAAATTGTCTTCAATCATGTAAAGATTATTGGATTGAAACTTTACGTAGTCGAAATGAGCGACATGCTATTCGACAATATGCAAGACAATTAGTTGAATATCGCAATCAGGGATTGACATCAAGTAAATCTCTTCGTGCTATAAGACCATCAATAACAAAAGAAACAGCAGCAAAAAATTAAAAATATATTGTTATCAAACAACAACAATGATAACTCGAAATATCTATAATAATGAATCCAAAACTTTTTTTTGTTTCATGCTTCAATAAAAATATCATGCTTTATTAAGAGAATGAACGGAATATGTTTAAACGACATGAACATAGACAAACAAGAGTTGTTGAATAGCCTTAAAAAATTCTCGAATCGTCTGATCGAACACATATTGAATGACACTATTCTCCTTTTATTTTATGGAAAGTTTTTATTTGCATCCCAATATGTTTCCATTTTTTTTTTCATTCTTATATTATCAAGTCTTTAGCTAATGGAAAGTTTATCAATTTAGATTCCAGTGATGTTCTTTTACAGACGCATTCGTTTGTCTAAAGAATTATCCATGAAGTGAAAAGTAATTAAAACATACAGTTCGGAGAATAACATCATCATCTTTCTTCTGATAAAATTCATGTTGGAAGTTTTACGATAAATTTAAGTCCTTGAATAGGATTCTCCGGAAGGCATTGGCAAGACAAAATAACATGTGAGACGTATTATTGTTTGTATGTGTTACTTTTTTAACTTATGTACGTTGAACAAACAAAGCAGAAGAGAAGAATTATTGAAATGTTTTTTGTAATGTCACAAGCAGAAAGAAACAATTATTAGTTGACAGTGATTAGCATCAACATAATCCATAATACCATAGTTATAATTTTGAAAATAAAATGGTAGTTGAATATGTCGAAAATTAAAGAATTATAGATTAAATGAAATGATCTACAGCATGGATTCTTAAAAAATGATGATAGAATTTAGAAGAGAATTTTTTTTGAATTAATGCGTGAATCACTATATTGTATACCGAGCGTAATGCATATAAATACGCAAGCAAGGACATTGCAGTAGAAATATGAAGTAGAACACACTTGCATAGCCATAAATATCATACATATTGAAGTTTTACAAAGATGCAGATATAACAGTTTTCTTTTATTATTAGATGCTAATTATGTTGTATAATGGGAATGTGTGGTACTTGTGAGAAATCAATAAGCTATTACCAAAATTGAATCAGAGACGAATGACATCTTGAAATGATTGTTAATACATTATAATATTAAACTGGCATAGAAACAAGAACATTCTGTAGTTTAACTTTGAATTCTTTGATTATGAAAAGACTTACAAAAATACTATTGCCAACATTGTACTTAGAAGCAACCTTGTAGCATCTTTTGATCTTAAGTACTTGAAAAAAAAACATTAAAACTGAATATAGAAGGTACATACATATTTATTGTCTTCTTGCAAATAGTAAAAAATAAGTATCTTTATTCGTAGGAAATCATTAGTTTAGCTTATTAATATTGAGTTCTATTGATATTCTTAAATAAATCACAAAATTGAATACTTCATTACATACTTTTATATCTTTAAACAAAAAAAAGAAAACAAAAATTTAATGTTCAACTTCATATCATTTAAAAATTCTTAAATATATATATAATTATGACCGAAATTTTTTTAACTGACGTATCGAATATTTATATTGAAGTTTTGGTAATGGTTTGAGTACGGAAATTTGATAGCTTGAATTTATTAAGGCATTTAATATAACAGAAGGATATTTTCCTGTTGAATGACATGTTGATAATTGATATTGTAGTTTACTTATAACTTGATGGGTATTCTTCCAACGTAGGAACTGTGTTAGAGCAGTTCGATGCAATGCATCAATTACACGTTGATACATTTCTGTTTCTATGCTTGCACCATGACGTAATTTGTCGAGTATGAGTTCATAAGATAAAGCTTCTTCTTGCAGACTTTCAAAATATGAAGAACCAAAGAGATAGAAATCGAATATCTTCCATCCATTTCCATGAAATATATCATGTCTTTGTTCATATTCTCGTATTTGTGTCACTAATTCACTATGTCTTTTTTCTAGTTTTGGTGTTAATACGCATATTTCTTCTAATATACGTTCACGTATTTCTTTCTGTATTAGTTCATGTTTAAATATGTCACATATTGCTTTTGGTAAACCTTCGTGGTCTGATAGCAAGAAAAGAAACTCTGAATCGAAATATTCTTCTATGTCGTTATGTAAAATTTTTCTTTTGCGTAGTTCAATTACTACGCGTTGACATATTTCGCTTTGTAAACGCTCATACATGATCTCTAGTACACGCCGATATACTGGTTCCAGAATTTCCGTCTGTTCAAATGTTCTCCTAAACCAAATCCGATGCTTATCTGTATATGTTCGATGAAGAATTAATTCCTGCCGCTGTTTTAATGTTGAATACTCGAAAGAAGATATCTTTGGATACGATATGTCAAGAATTTGCTCCAAAGAACGTTTGTTGTCTTCATCAGGATCAACATCGTCTTCACTTGATGCTGAAAGAAATATTTTTTCATCTTTTTCTATTTTATATATAATTTTCTGGAGAGATTTTAATAGCGAAGGTTTGAAAATAGAAAAACAATGTTCAGCAATTTTGTATACATGATAACGAAGACGTGATCCAAATAATTCATAAGCACTTAGAATAAACATTATAAACCAATGTATTTGATCGATCACTTTACAATTAGTAAAATCATATTCTTCTTTAGCCATGGCAATTGCGAATCGAACAGCCATGTCTTGAAGAACACATGGTCTAATTATCTGTAAGTATTTTTGTAACATAGGGCTGTATACTAAAGTTGAAAAGAAAACAGAATCGACTTCCCGCAAAGTAGGATCTGGTTGTGGTCCAATGCCAAGAAAATCGAGAAGAGCAATTATTGGTATAATATGATTCTGTTTCGATAGATGAGTAAATAGTTGTCGAACTGAATGAAATGAAAGCGTCTCGAGAACAAAACAAAAGTGTTTATATTCGATGTGTGGATCGAGTTTATAATGGCCAAGGTTGTCGCGTGTTGATTCGAAACAATCCGCAGAAGACACAATAGCAGCTAAATATGGAATTTTTTCGATTTTATCTTCATCAAGAGTCAAGATTTGGCCTGCAGCAAAACGAAATGTTTTAGCCGTTGTTATTGTCTCACCGATATTGTTGGTCATTGTATGACAGTTTCAACACACCAATATATCTACTTTATCTATTTTTATGTCATTATGAATTTTCAAAATCACAAAAAAATTCTGAAAATAAAAGGAAATACATGCATTCATTCTCTAAATATAGCTTATTACTTTTGACATATATCTAATAAAGTGTGAGTAATCGAAGTATTTCTTAAAGGTACTTTCGAACGAAACAATATTACCTTTATATCTACTTCATGCTTATAGAAAAAACGTGACATTTATTATTGGTCTTTTCTTCCGTTTTTCACGTTGGAAATTGCCGAAGACAAGTGAAAAATGATTCATTTAGGGTTTTTTCCAGTCATTAATTTTTTTTCACTCAAAGTGTCCTTTGTAGACATTTTGATAACGATAAAATCATCTACTTGTTCCTACGAATTCAAATAAATGATTATGCTTCCCAAATGATTCAAGTTAAAACAAAATAACGTTTTTCACAATTGTTTCGTAACATATCTCTTGTTTTGATGATGATTACTTTTCATTGAGTCCCACAATTTAAACTTTTCTGTAAATACCTCATATTTAATCAAAGTACAAGAATCCATAACGGGTCTTTTGGCAAGTTTTAGTCTAACGAAATTTCTGACAATTGTGATCAATCTATAGAAATATGAAAATGAAACTACAGCTAGATGGCATTCGAATTTCACTCGATTGAAAAATGCAATGAGAAAGTACGGATGTCGATCATCGAACAAATCAATATCTTATCTTATAAAAAAGCAAAGAATCGTTTTTACAATTATTCGTACAAATCTTTTCTCGCGAGATATTTACTCTTGATAACAACAAGTTTCTTTTCTATCGATCTTATCGGAAACTAGAATTATTTACGTTTCAACCGATTTGCTAATCGAAATTGAAAAGTAAAAATGACACATCATTAGAAGAACAAAATTAATTAATACGTAAAAACATATTTTTAAGCAACGTTGTTGATTTATCGTTTAATTATTATCTATATGATACATTATTTATAATCAACTGTCCTTGTAGTTGTAATAAACAAAATCAACTTATCGAGTAGACTGGTGGTTAAGTTTTTATGCTATTTTGATTTTAATCATCTCAAAACTTGAAAAACAAGCAAGCCCCTGAAAAAAGAGGATACATTTATGAGCACAATCGTCCCTTACACACTCATAAAATTCAATGTTATTTTAGCTACTTTGTTATTTTGACTATCAGAAGTTTTTAACTAACAAAGTCAAACCTTTTAATGTATTCTGTATTGTGTAGCAAGAGATTGAGTTAACCGAAATTTGTCCATATTTTATTTCCTCCAAAAGATTAGGTTACTAAGTGTATGCAAAATATTCCATTCAGTTCTCTATCGAATGGTATATAAACATCTGAGAAATGATTGTTCCTTGATTTTCCGTTTATAATGATATGATTCTTCTTGCATATTACTAATAGACTACCATGATGAACCACTCGAAATTCCATATTAATCGATAGATATGAACGGAACCTACCAAATGAGGCTAAGAAATCAACGAAGAAGGAGTGAAAGGACTTCTTCTTTGGGTATGGATCAAGAGAATATTCACGTTCAAATCAGAAAAAGTGAATTTTATTTTTACACTTCAGAGTGTATCGGAAATATTGTCTTTTCCGAAACTAAATCAACACCTGTGTTTTCAATCAATAGACATTTGTATTAATAAAATACACATTGCATGTGCCATATTTTGTGACACAATATATGGTACATCAAAGGTTGACACGAAGCGCTCGTGACGGCACATTCTGAAAAGGTAGTTCGAATCTATTCTTTGGGATGTTTGTTACTTATTTTTTTGAAAAACCCAATAATTATTATTGTTCCAATTTAATTTATATTATTAGTACGTATTCTTGAAGTACAAAAACGGTAAGATCCTAAGATCCAAATGTACCCAGT